TTCTGTGAGTTCGAGGCCAGCCTACTCTACAGTGAGAGTTCCAGGACAGCAGAGGCTACACAGAGAACCCCACAAAAAAAAAAAAAAGGCACTGGACATGACAGCTTACTCCTGTAATCTCAACACATGGGAGGTAGAAACAAAGCGTTAGAAATTCAAGGTTGCCTTCAGTTCCATATCAAGTTTTAGTACATCCTGGTCTACATGAGGCCTTGTTTCAAAAAACAAAACAGTTTTGGATTTTGGAGCACCTTGGGTTTTGTATTTCCGTGTAAAATATTTGTGATTTTCTGTTGCTGTGAGAAAAACACCGCGACCCACAGCAACTATGGAAGAGTTCACTTTAGCTTCAGTTTCTAGCAAAGTGTCCATGATGGTGGGAGAGGCATGGCAGCAGGCAGCCAGAGCAGGGAGGTCACACTTTCAGCGGCAAATAGAGCTAACTGGAAGTGGAACAAGGCTATGGATTCTCCAAGCTGCTGCCAGTGATGGACTTCCTCCAGCAAGACTCCCCAAACAGCATCATCAACTGGGGATCGGGTGTTCAAGTATGTGTGCCTGTGGGGCACATATCTTTCAAACTACCAGACCAGATAGGGGCGAATGTTGAGTGAGAATTTAGAGAATTTAGACATTAGTATTAAACATTTGGAAAACAGGGGGCCAGGGGCCACATCAGGCAGTTTACAACCACCTGTAATTCCAGCTCCAGGAGATTGACACCCTCTTCTGGCCTCCAAGGGCACGTGCGCGCATAAAAAGAAAAAAAAAACTCATATAGGAGCCAAATCAGCATGATCATCAAAAGAAGACAGCAAAAACTAAGCATTTTTTTAGTCTTGCAAAGAACTTTTGTTTTGTTTTGTTTTGTTTTATTTTGTTTTGTTTTGTTTTGAGAAATCCTTTCTCTGTGTAGCCCTGGCTGTCCTGGAACTCACTCTGTCAACCAGTCTGACCTTGAACTCGCAGAGATTTCACCTGTCTCTGTCTTCCGGGTGCTGGGTTTAAAGGCGTGTACCACCACCACCCAGAAAGCTACATTTTTTTTAAGAAAAAGAAAATTCCTTTTTAATTGAAGGAACTCAATGACAAATTGAGTAGCTAAGTAGGAAGCCCACACCCACTGCCAGCACCTGCTCAGACAAGCAGTTCTTGGAAAGTCACCGAGTTGTGATTTCACTGGAAAGGAAATCATTGTTCTTACAGCCACCAGAAGTGGACACCTAATTTCCATGACAAATATGGAAATGCTATATTAGCAGCCGGAGGCCTCTTCTGTATTTCTGCGTGGACATATACAGCAACACAAATTGGAATAGAATGTAACCTGTCACCTGTCGGCAAAGTCACCCCTAAGGGTTGGAGAGATCAGTAGTCATGTCAGCTGGTGCAACAGTCAGGGAACTGTTGCAAAACCCAAGTCAAAGAATCATGTATTCACTAAAATATGGTATATTGAAGAAAAAATAAAGTACCTTTGAAATCTTTAAAAAAAAAAAAAGAAAGAAAAAAAGAAAGAAAGAAATTAGAAGAAGCCAGATGTGACAGGTGTGAGTATTGACACCTATACTTACTTGAGAGATTGGGGAAGGAGGCCTGCTAGGAGCCTCAGGCCAGCCTTGGCTAGAGAGACAGCAACAGTGTCTCAGAAAACAGATTTACAAAACACACAAATAGGGGCTATAAGACGGTTCTGTGGCTAAGATATCTGCCACACAAACAGGATGTGTCCCCAACAAGCATGTGAGAAACCAGGCACCATGTCACACACCTGCAGCTCCAGCACTGAGAAGGCTGACAGGAGGATCCCCAGAGCTTGCCTTTCAAGCAGTCTAGCTGAATCAGTGAGCTCCAAGTTCATGGAGAGATGGTCAAAACATAAGGCAGAGGGCTGGCAAGATGGCTCTCAAGAACTTGCAGGTAAACCTGATGACCTGAACTCAATTCCTGAGACCCACAGAATGGCAGAAGAGAACCAGCTCCTCAAAGTTGTCCTTTTCGTACTACAGTGTTGGTGGCATATCACACACACACACACACACACACTGATAAATAAATATAAAAAATTATCTTGGGGGCGATGGAGAGATGGCTCAGTAGTTAAGAGCAGCAATTGCCCTTCCAAAACACCCAGGTTCAATTTCCAGCACCCTCACGGCAGCTCACAACTGTCTGTAACTCCAGTTTCAAGAGATCCAACACCCTCACACAGATATATATAGTCAGAACACCAATGTACATAAAATAAAAATTTTAAAAGATTTTTTTATTTGTTATTTTGTCTTTTTTTTTCTGGAGTTGAGGACCAAACCCAGGACCTTGTGCTTACTAGGCAAGCACTGTACCACCGAACTAAATCTCCAACCCCAAAATTTATTTTTTTTTGTAAGTTAAAGAATGCTAGAGGAAGACACCCACTGTGAACCTCCGCACACACCTGTGCCTGCACAAAGACTTTACACACCAACACGTCCATACACATAAACAGAAATCATATGGTGTGTCACTATAGCTGAGGAGACGTGAGCAAACGTCTTCTCACTCCAGATGGGGAACTGATGACAGCCCAAAGTAAGGACACCACTGAAGTCCAACTCGGTGAACCTGCATCACAGGAGGATGGCCCCAGCATGAGTGACGGTTTGTGAAGGCGAGAACCCTGAGGCTCCCTGCACAGCTCACAGACAGAAACCCAGGCCAGAGAGATCTCAGCAGCCCTCACTGTTTATATAAGCTTGTTGTCCTAGTTCATCTGTCTAGAGGGAACCACAGCTGAAGAATTGCCTCCTTCAGACTGGCCCGTGGCTGTGTCTGGAAGAGATGATCTTAATCAATGTGAGAGGGCTGAGTTCACTGTAGGGGGCACCATCCTTGGGCAGTTGACCCTGGGCTGTATCAGAAAGTCTCCTGAGCATGAGCAAAGAGCTAGCAAACAGATAATCTTTCTCCATGGTTCCTGTATTCGAATTCCTGCCCTGACTTCTGTCAATCATGGATTATGGTCTGGAAGTGTAAGCCATATAAACATTGTCCCTCTCTGAATTGCTTTTGGCCAGAGTGCTTTATCACAGTAGCAGAAAGAAGACTAGAATACTTGGAAAAGATGGGACCTGGTGTGTGTACTCAGTTTCAGGAACACCCTGAGACTTGTGGGTTGTTTACTCCCTGACTCTTAAGGATTATTTTTTGTTTCAATTTGGAGAGATGATTACATATAGTCTGGGCGAGAGAACGTTTACATTAAGCAACAGCCAGTATCCTTAACATCAAGAGATTTTATGTATAAATGCACAGAAATACATTTGGAAGCTGTCATGAAAGTTCTTCATTACTTAAGACCAAAGAATTTAAATGTGTCTTATAAAAAATGGAAAAGACCTTCTGAAAAGGCTCCCTGATCCCAGTAAATTACCAGAAATTCTTTGAACTTTGCAGACAGCTGTCTACATCATTCAAAGAGGTCAAGGGGTGGAGCTCAGTACAAGGACATCTGCCTAGAATCCCCCAGTGAAGGGGAAGCATGTTGGAAGCATGGCTGAATGCTGGGGAATCTGCCTGGAATCCCTGGTGCAGAACCAAGGAAGTGGTTGAGTTGGTAGAGTGCTTGCCTAGCATGCATGAATCCCTGGGTTTGATCCTCAGCACCACATAAATCAGATGTGATGGTGCAGGACTGTAATCCCAGCACTCAGGAAATGTTGAAGGTCATCCTTAGCTACATATCAAGTTCAAAGTCAACCTGGGCTATATGAGACCCTGTCTCAAAAAAAAAAGAAAAGATAACCAAAGGCAAAACCAAGGATTTGTGGAGGAGAGTTGGTGGACACAGTATATCATAGGTGTTAAATCCTGTAAACCCTGGGTAGGGGTGGGGATCTGCTCAATGTACAATATATACCTATATGACATTTTTTTAAATAAAATTGCTTAAAGATCTTCAAAACAAACTAACACAAAAAGGCACTGCCAACATCAAGGAGCCCACAGAGTAGTTGAAAAAGTTAGAATTGAGACAGAGAAAATCCAGTAATTTCTCAGTCATAGGATGAGATAAGACTGAGGAGGTTGGGGTTGGTGGGGTGGCTCAGCAGGTAAAGGTGCTTGCAGCCAAGCCTGACGACCTGAGTTCGATCCTCAGTACCAACATGATGGAAGGAGTCGTCCTCCAACCACATTACCCCACCCCTTCCTGACACAGTAAACAACTAAACATAAGACGACAGTTTAAAAGACCTGCTCTCACCTTTGGGGAATTTATAATGTATCTGGGCATTTGTGTTAAAGAGACTGTAAGATAGGAGGAGCCCTTGTCCCTGGGTGGGATGCAAGTCAGGGAGGGCTTCTTGGAGGAGGCACCAGGGGCAAGACTTTTGCACTTGCTCTGCCTGCTTGGAACAGATACCCAGATTTAAATGTGGATCCTCTCTCCATTATTCAGATTTTGGCTCAGTCATAACCTTTTTCTCAAGGTGCTGGCCTGGCTGACCTAGGCTGCCCCACCTTGCGTGTGCCTGTGTGCACACACGTGTGTGTATGGGGGGTTAACCTACAGTCAAGTTTGGATATCTTCATCTGGTGCTCCTCACCTGGAACTCACTATGTAGATCAGGATAGCCTAAAACTCACAGAGATCACCTGCCTCTGCCCCCAAACGTTATCATTAAAGGTGTAGCCACCATGCCTGCTTCACTCTGTTCTTGAGACGGGTCTCTCACTGGAGCTTCTTGTTGAGCTAGACAGGCTGGACCCCACCCTCCCCCCAGCCAGGAACCATGTATTCCCTCAGTGCTAGGTTTATAGGCGTGCTGCCATACCCAACTTTTGTGTAGGTGTGGGGCCCTCTTTAGGGTCTATGAAACATCTCACCCTTGACATATTCCACAGTCCTTCAAAAGCTTCCTATCTGTCTTCCTCTACAAAGTGCTGGTTCCTGGGGGCAAGAATTGGTTCAGGCCACTGCCACACCTAACACTTGTAGACCAGGGCCTTGCACAAACCAGTGCACAATGAATGTTTATTGAATGAAGAACAGAAACTGTTGCGGAGCTCCTGGATCCAGCTGTGCCTGAAGCTGCACGATTATGAAATGGCCTAGGAAATTCAAATCCCTCTTGACTACACGGCCATCTCAGACATCACCTCATGGCTGGTGGATACCTTGCTCACCATACTTTCCTCATCCTGTGGATCCCTCAGGGCCCAGTGGCATGCAGCCTGGAGTGACTGGCGGAGTTGTTTCCTTCCAAAATACAAAAACATTATGGGATTGAGAGCACTGTGAGCAAGGGCCAGGCCTGAAATCAGAGGCTCAGCCTCCAAGACCCGGGCAAGGAGCAAGGAGAACGGCGCAGCCACTGCAATTATGACCTTCAGGATGTGGTAAGGGGTCCAGCAGATGAAAAAGCCAACCACGACAGCTGTGCCCAGTGGCCAGTGACGTCGGGTCAGTTGCCATTGGAGGATGCCGTGGCAACTGGCCATGAACACCAATGGCCCCAGGAAGCCAAAGAGAAATCGAACCGCGGTGATGGTGGCCTCTGCTGCGACAGATCGCCCATAGTCTATGCCACACATAAGCCGTGGAGGGAAATGCTCCTGATGCAGCCTACGGTAGACTGCAGAGGGCACCGTTAGCACCAGGGCCAGCATCCAGGAAGAGACCTGGGCCACTCGCACCCCGAGTGTCCGGTGATGAGCAATCTTCCAGGAGGGCCTGAAAGCCAGTAGGAAGAGGTCAGCGCTGAGGGCAGTCAAGAGCAGCACACTGGCGTACATAGACAGGACGGTGACCGAGGGCAACAGCCAGCAGCCTGCTGCCCCATACGGCCAGTGACCCTTCTGGGCAATGGGCACAGCCAGGAAGGGCAGAGACACACAGCAAAGCAAGTCAGCTACGGCCAGGTGCAGGAACCAAGAGGCCCCAAGCCTGTGGCGGGACTCTTTCCAGGTCACCCAAGCCACCAAGATGTTGCCTGGCACACCCACCAGGAAGATGGCTGCATACAGAAGAACCAAGGCTATGAGGTAGCCATCACTAGATAAGCAATCGCCAGTCGGGCAGTCTACGGGAACGTCCGGAAGGTCATGGTAAAGGTCATAATCATATTCATAATCATCTTGGTAGCTGGTGGTATGGTTCATCATCCTGGCCCCAGAGACCTGCAGGAGACAGACAGGCAACAAGTTAGTGGGAAAACTTCAAGAGCCCTGCTCTTCTGGGGCCGGGCTGGCCCAGGGACACCATACTGGAGAGTACAGGGCTGTGATGTTAGGGTGCCTGAACTCCAGGGTGCCTGCATTCTGTGATACTTATTGTCAACTGGCAACTTAACAGATTCTGGAAGCATCTAGGAGATGGGGTCAGTCTTTGTTGTGCTAACTGATATGGGAAGATCCATGTTAATTGTGGAAAGGACCCAGCTGGGATCCTAAGGGGGCCAGAACGACGACTCAGCGAGGGAAGGTGCTGCAACCAAAGCCTGATGACCTGAGTTCAACGTCCATGAGACCCACATGGTGAAAGAGAACTAACTCTCCAGGTTATCCTCTAACCTCCACATACATGTACACACACACACACACACACACACACACACACACACACACTAAAAATAGGGATTTTTTAAATGAATGGAAAAATGTTCTGGGAAGTGGCATACATTCTTCCCAAGTGTTTCTTTTTTGTTTTGTTTGAGACAGAGTTTCTCTGTATAGCTCTGGCTGTTCTGGAACTTGCTCTGTAGACCAGGCTGGCCTCGAACTCACAGAGATCTGCCTGCCTCTGCCTCCCAAGTGCTGGAATTAAAGGCGTACACCTCCGACACAGCCTAGCTCACTAGTGCTTCTTGACTGGTTTTGATGTGGTCAGCTACTTCAAGCTCCTGTTGCCTTGACTTTCCCTCCACAGTGGACCAGACATTGACACTGTGAGCCAGAATAAATACCTTCTCCTTTAAGTAGCCTTTGCACAGTATTTTATGTAGACCAGGAAAGCCCCAAACTCACAGAACTCACAGGACTGGGATAAAAAAAAAAGTGTGCCACCACATCCAGCTGTGAGTTACTTCATCACAGGAAAAGAAACTATTAAGAGAGAAAGAATTATCTCATTAGCATGTGAAATTCCAGAATATGAGAACAGCAAACTGAGATTCCAGCAAGTAAGAGAACTAGAATTACAGAAATGCTGAGACTCATATACACCTTGAAATTCTAGTACATAACCTTTTATACACCACAAAGTGCTGGGATTGAAGCCAGGTCCCAGACAGGTTCCAGGCAGGAGCCCTACCACTGAGATACACCTCCAACCCCTCACTGGGTATCTGATTGATGGAAACCTAAACGATTCCTTGAAACACTAGAATCCTAGCTCATGCCTGTCTTGGATGGCTAAGGTGCAGTTTTAGAACGCATTGACAGATTAGAACATATAGATCCTGAATGCTAATGCCTTAGAACACCAAGCTCTTAGAATTCAAAAATTAAAACTCATCAAGAAAAACAAAAAAGAAGAAGGTGAAGAAGAAGAAGAAGAAGAAGAAGAAGGAGAAGGAGAAGGAGAAGGAGAAGGAGAAGAAGAAGAAGAAGAAGAAGAAGAAGAAGAAGAAGAAGAAGAAGAAGCAACAGCAGCAGCAACTGAGCAGTGGCAGCATGCGCCTTTAATCCCAGCACTTGGGAGGCAGAGGCAGGTGAATCTCAGTGAGTACAAGGCCAACCTGGTCTACAAAATAAGTTCCAGCCAGGGCTACACAGAGAAACCCTGCCTCAAAAAAGAAAGGAAGGAAGGAAGGGAGGGAGGGAGGGAGGGAGGGAGGGAGGGAGGGAAGGGGAAGGGAAGGGACGGGAAGGGAAGGGAAGGAAAGGAAGGAAAAAAGAAAGAAAAAGCGAGCAAGGCATGATAGCATGCTTATGGGCTCAGTGGATAAAGCCAGTAATAAATTCTTAAAAATAACAACAAAATCCATCTGGAGCAATTCCTTCAATAATATTAACATTGGAAACACTTAGGAAGAACGGAATGTTGCATTCCCTACGGTTTATCTATTCACAAACACAGCCCATGGGTACTTTCTGTTTTGTTTTGTTTTTGAAGGTTTTCATGTAGCCCAGGGTAGTTCCACATATGCTGGGTAGCCAAGGATGACTATGAACTTCTGGTCCTTCTGCTTCTAATTCCCGAGTGCTTAGATTTTAAGGGTGCACTACCACGCCCAGCTCTCGAGCAATTTTGTTGTTGTTCTGGGTATCTGTCCAAGGACTGAGGCACAGGCCAAAATCTGTCTGCTTGCAACTGATATTCCAATGGGGAAACCCAAGGAGCCAAGGCGCAAACAAGAAATCTGCAGTATTTTCCAAGGGATAATAGTTGAATGATGAGGATGTATAAAGGCCAGCCTTGGCTGTATGGTTACAGACTAGCCTGGGCTTCACGAGACCCGGCCTCACGTAGGGAGAAAACAATCCCAGAGAAGGGGGCTCCGGGGGAACTGCACACAGATGGTAAAGGAAGGGAGCGTTTGCGTAGAAGCTAAAAGGATTGAGGGAGATGATGAGGACCTAGCATGAAATAAAGCATGACCGCTATGTTCAAGGAATAGCAAGGCGGTGAGGCTGAAGCGGAGCTGGCGAGAAAGAAAAGGGAGAAGTGAGAACAAGTCAGGCGTGAGGTCATACACCTGTAATCTCAGCACTCAGTATGCGAGGCAGGAGGATTGCCATGTGTTCCAAGCCAACTTGGCTACACAATGATTATTAGGCCAATTAGGGCTCACGTAACAAAATGCTATCTCAGTGGAGCACTGTTAGTCTTGCCTTCCTGTAAATGCAGCTTGTGGGAGGTGTAGGCGGTTCAAAGTCACCCTAGCCCACACTCTAATGAGACGCTGTGTTAAAGGGGGAGGAGCTGGAGAGACGGCTCCACGGTTAAGAGCACTTGTTGCTATTGTAGAGGAGCCAGGTTCTGTGGCAGCTCACAACTGAACCATCTCTCCAGCTCCTATCCTAACCCCCCATTTTAATTGGTTTTTGTTGTTGTTATTGTCGTTTGTTTGGGGTATTTTTTTTAGATTTATTTATTTAATTTGCAGCAGTGTTTTTCTACATGTGTGTGTGCCACATGCATGCCCGGTGTCCATGGAGGTCAAAAGAAGACATTGGATCCCCTAGACAGTTCCAGACAGTTGTGAGCCACCTTAAGGTTTGCTGGGAACTAAACCTAGGGTCTCCTGCAAGAGCAGCAAGTGCTCTTAACTACGGCTCCTGCAGGGGGCGCTGGGAAGCTCTGTAGCTCTAGTTCCAGGGGCAGACACCCTCTCCAGGACTCTGTGGGTACATGTACTCAGGTGCACAGACACACAAAAAAATTAAAAAATCATTTTAAAATTTAATAACAGCAACAAAATGACCTGATCCAGCAACAATAGTTTAGCACATCAGAAGGCGCCATACACTGAGCATTTTGTGTATGTTCCAAGCATGACCCCAAACATCTTCCAACATCGTATCTCCGTTTGATATGGTCTTCTTAAACTGATCTACAGTTGACTGAGGCACAGACTAAATGTTCCTAGGCCCAAGTCCCAAAATATTACTGTCTCCAGATAGGAAACTACGCAGCCTCATACACTCTGTGGCCCTGAACCAACTATTATGACTTTGGGGGAAAACCAAGGAGCCAAGGCGCAAACAAGAAATTTGCAGTATTTTCCAAGTGATAATAGTTGAATGATGAGGGCAGGGTTTCTCTGTGTAGCCCTGGCTGTCCTGGAACCCACTCTGTACACCACACTGGACTTGAACTTGCCTTTGCCTCTCAAGTGCTGGGATTAAAGGTGTGCACCACGACCACCTGGCTATATCTGTGTTTCTTATGCATTAATGCTGAGATCCTACCAAACTGGTGACGTGGGTCCCAGAGGAGGATATGGACAGAGCCAGCCATGGCTGCCATCCAAAGTCAAAAAGAAAAAGAAACACAGAAATGATACAAAGTGCACTGGGGAAGACCTAGGAGGGAGGGGCCACTCAGCCCCATTCAGAGTGGCTAGAACCTGAAGCTCTCAGCTCACTTTTATGGGTTGTCTGGCACTGCCCAGACCTCAACCAACACTGTCAAAACAGGAAGGACACAGCGGAAGTTGGGACACTTCCAGCTCGGCCAGGTACCCAGCCAGCTTATGAGGTCAAGCCATTTTTCTGAATATTTTTCCATTCTTCAAAGCAAACTGTATCTGACTTTTAAAAACTCACCTGCCATCCAGCACTATAGGCTGAGGCAGGAGGAATGCCATGTTTAAGGCCAACCTGTGTGTGCTATAAGGTCAGACCCTGTCTCCAAAAAACAAAACAAAATAAGCAATACAAAAACGTAACAAAAGAACAAAACACTCAAAGGTTCAACAGCTCTGTGACCTTCAGCGGGTAGCCTAACCTCTCTGTGCTTCAGTCTGTAAAAGGGAATAATCAAATAACCCACCTTAGAGAGCTGGGAATATTCAATGTATGCAATAGATCTGCCCTGGAGAAAATGACTGCCACAGTGCTGGTCCGCAGCAAGCATCAGGTGTGTGTCTGTGTCTGTGTCTGTCTGTCTGTCTGTCTGTCTGTCTGTGTTTGTGTGTGTGTCTGTCTGTCTGTGTGTGTGTTTGTCTGTGTCTGTCTGTGTGTATCTGTGTTTTGTCTGTGTGTCTGTGTCTGTCTGTATGTGTCTGTGTTTGTGTGTCTGTGTGTGTATCTGTGTCTGCGTGTGTGTGTGTCTGTGTTTGTGTATGTGTCTCTGTGTCTGTCTCTGTGTCTGTCTCTGTGTCTGTCTGTGTGTGTCTGTGTGTGTCTGTGTGTGTGTGTCTGTGCGTGTGTATCCGTGTTTGTGTGTGTGTGTCTGTGTGTCTGTGTATATTAGCTGCTGTTATCACGTATATACACAGCCTCTCTTCCCTTCTCTGGCTCCACCTTGCACAGCTATTGCTGATAACATTCCAGGACAGTTTCTGTACTTAGAAACTGTGGTATTTCATCTGTAAACAGAAACAGGGATGATTCCCAGCATAGTCTCTCTCTCTCTCTCTCTCTCTCTCTCTCTCATAGAGCACCACTTAACTCAGTGCTCTACCACTGACAAGACAGAGCTGTCTTCTCAGACTTTCCATTTTCCTGAAACA